CAAGAATCACAGCTTTTCTTAAGAAAACAGTCTTTATGAACCTGGAATTCAGAGGAGACGTCGAAGTGGAAATTCTTAGAAATCGCCTTTCTAATTGTCTGTAGAAGACATTTCAAGCATCCATCATACGCATCACATTCCCCAGCAGACAGTTAATTTGGTCAAGCTTTAAGGACAAGATACCGCTTTTGGCCACCTCAGTGTGTATTTGTCAGTCTACCTGCTCGTGTGGAGCAAAGTTTATCGGCTGTACGCAAAGCCAAGTCCACAAATGTATTCTGGAACATTGTTCAGCTTGGTTAGCCAAAGGAGAAAAGAAGAATAGTAGCACTTCCATCCTTGAACACCTTTTCAAATCCCGCCATCCAGCACCTCCGCATGAGTGCTTCACAGTGTTACACAGAGTTCCTCAATTTCGTAGGAAAGAACTTCGAATACTCCATCTGTACATAGCTGAATCATTGGCTATTAGGAATCTGAAACTGGACCTCTGCATTCAAAAGCACCACATATATTCAGTCACTCTACCTTGACCAGAGTAAAGTTCTCACTATAATTTTGCTTCTTTTTTATTATGTAATTTTACTACTATTAATCTCATCATCCTTGTTTTTATTATTTATTAATAACATTCCATTTTCATAGAGATTCTATAAAAACATTTTATCATCTTTCTACAAGTTCTTGTCCATTCTACACAATTATATTGATTATTCATTTTTCACACGTATTACTTCATGCCAACTTCTTCCACTTTTCTAATTTCCAATTAGTCATCTTTTGTAGGCAACACCTTACATTACGTAATACGCTTTTCGAGGAAAACTTTTAACAGTATCTGATCGGTCTTATGACTTCTTTGTTAAATAGGATTGCGATTGTACAGCTTCTGAATACGAATCATCGAAAAGAAATTCTCCTCTCTGTTTACGTCTTTTTCCTATGATTCAATAGGGGAATAATTCATGCATAAAATTACAGTCAAGAGATTTAATAAGTCTGCCTTCATATTGGTGTATGTGACAACTACAAACAGCAGTTCCACCAGTAAAATGTAAAAATGTCATACAGGAAACCCTAAAAGGCACCAGAGAATTCTTAAAACCCAAGATATTTGAAAATATCGAATTTAACAATGAATAAACGTCAACAAGGTGATCACTACTCACACAAAGCGAAAAGTTTATAAAGCAATTTTGCAAAGGTAACAAATCATTTACGATTCCACCGGAATAGACCGTCAATACGTTCATAGACGATTCCGTAAGTGCACTTTATCTTGGAGACGGAGTCTAGAAAGACAAAAAAAGCTTCAGATAGAAGCCAAAGACCTCAGGGAATTAAAAAGTACCAATATAACCTGCCTAAGGTGAAGATATTCGCCACCACTTCTGATACCAACATTCTTTTATATGCTTAAATAATTGAAGAAAATAAAAGACACATTCAGCGAAGAAAATTTTCTTTATCGACGAAATCATCTTCAGAGGCTGGCTGTACAGTCGTATTTATACATACAGAAATATATAGTGGTGTATTATTGAGTAATAGGCGTGGGGGTGACATAATTGATATAATTACTCAGAAGTGGCTTTAGAAGTGAAAATTAAAAGTTGTAAATTACGTGGTACCCAACGGCAAAACGGCACGTAATTTACAACTTTTAATTTTCACTTCCAAAGCCACTTTTGAGTAATTATATCAATTATGTCACCCCCACGCCTATTACTCAATAATACACCACTATATATTTTGTAAGTATAAATACGACTGTACAGCCAGCCTCTGAAGATGATTTCGTCGATAAAGAAAATTTTCTTCGCTGAATCTGTCTTTTATTTTCTTCCTGACTCAATGGGTATTTTCGGTGATTTGAAGTATATCAAGAACCTTAAATAATTCATAGTCACAACGGTAACTAAAAAGAAATATTCTACTAGCAAGGGATTTCCCTAGATCTTAGTAAATGTGACACAAATATATGATGTGACAAATAAAATGAAATCCCGTATTCAATTCAGATCCGGCTAATGTACTTTTAGTTACAAGAGTTTCACTTTCTCAATTCCTGGATAACCTAACTGTTCTAGAATGCCCGCAGTGTTGATTCCTTCGACCAAAACTTTCAATCCAAATCAATTTTAGCTTGTTGAAATTTGTCCTAAGACTTCTGGAACTTATGGAGGTAATCTTTGGATTTTCAAGTTTTCAAATTCGCGCCACAGGACCCAAATAACCACAAAAATCGATAACTTTATACGACACTTTCTGATAGACTCAGGTCTCTAACACTTACTTATTAGGAATTTCTAGATATTTTCAAAAAAATTATTAAAATAAAAGTGACAACCTCTAGAAGATCTGGACTTTGCTGACGATTTATATCAAATGTCACACACACTTGAAGATAAAAAACGTGAAACTTAGGAGAATTTGAAGGAAGTCACTTCGTTCACTTCTGCAGTCAGGACTGTAAAAATAAGACAGACTTTTACTAATCTAAAATCAGTATGGTGTTTTACCGCACTCAGCATAAGGAAGAAGATCTGATTTTTCAACACTAATGTCCAGTCAGATCTGTATGGTTCAAAGATTTTGAACACTACAAAGGCATTTCTAATAGACTGCAGACTGTCATCAACAACTGCCCTGTCTCCATAATGAAGATCAGATGGTCACAAGGGATTAGCCATCCAGAACTCAGGTAACAAACCAGCCAGAAACCTACTGTTCAACAAAAACGCGGAGGAAGATAGAAATGCTGAAATCACACTTCAACTACACCCATGACAGGATCCCAATTAGGAAATGGTGACTGATTGGATGTCTGAATGCGACAGGAAGGAGATAGTCTGAGGAGAGAATGAAAGCTTATGGATGGTCATCAAGCCAGCTAAAAAGGACTCCAGAAAACAGAGTGAATCGGAGATGTGCTGTTGAAGACCTATTTTCCAATAGGAACCTAAGGGATTATTTATATATATATATATAAGCCCTGGAGTTGAATCCAAACCACGTGTTTGATTGGCGAGCATTCTAATAGTGAATCACTGATGTACAGGTGACAACATCTGCTTCAATGACTGTTTGTCAATAAAAAGAGACGAAAAGGATCAAAAAGTAAAGAGGTCATATATGTCCAAACCAAGTTCACTTTTACCAGTGTGAAAAAATTTGGGCATTGGTGCACGATATTCATTATAATAAAGGTTTTTTTGTATTTCCCAATGTATGAAAAACAAAACGATATTGCTGTTTTTACTGACGTTTCGATATTTAATGTTAATAGTTTTATAAAAGTATTCATCAACAAAATCAACACAGACATTAAGTATGACCGAAAACATGGACATCAACAGTCGTCATTCCATATAGATCAGAGACGTAAGACAATATCCGAAGAGTACTCAATCAGCTCGGCATTAGAGTCTTCTTCAAAACGTCAGACACACTACGAAACAACCTTGTCCATATAAAAGACCAAATCCCTAAGGATTCTCAATCTGATTCCATTTTCAAAATAAAGTGCATGGAACATGATGCTATATACACCGGAAAAACATCGCGAGATGTCAAAATCAGAAGAAATTAACATCACAAAGCATCTGTTCAACCACTGAGAAATCCAGTTGATGAACTAGGAAAGCGTGAAAAATCATCAGCCAACCATAGCTTGTCTACACGCTATAGAATCAGGTCACAAAATTGATTTTGACAATATTGAAATAATTCAGACAAGGCATTTCAGAAATCACAAAGAACGTCTAATATCAGAAGCACCCCATATTAAATGGAATCCAAATTGCCTGAATGGAAATGATGGACTAAAACAGAATCTGACCTGGTTACAACACCTCCCACCCCATGAGGTGACAAAATCAACACGAATGTGATAAGCAAGTTCACCATGTAAACACACACTGCTTTTATAATTTTACACACCTATGAAATCCAATAATCTACACTTAGTTTTGTTATCTTTACCAATTCACCAACTTGACAATGAAAAATCCCCCCAGACAGACGAACGATGATCAAGTTAGTAAACTTTATTTTGATAATCATAACAGACGTACTTTTACTTTTGTTATTTGGTTTAGTGACTGATCTTCATTGTTATTTTGGCTTTCAACATGTCCCTTTAACTTGACCTAAGTCGATTTCCTCACCTCTTAACTCTTTGTTATATATATGTTGAGATTTTGTAAATTCTGGTTTAATAATACTTTGATAAAGCTATCTGCATTAAATAGCGAAACGTCAGTAAAAACAATATCGTTTTGTTTTTCATTCATTCGGAAATACAAAAACCTTCATTATAATGAAAACATCACATTATCATTTCTGTGTAAATTAACAGGGAATTATATTTGAAGCGATTCACTTATTTCCGTCCTTTATACTTCAAATTTCCATCAAATGCAATTTCCCAGATTCATTATTAACTCAACAGAGAAACCATTCTTCTGTCATGTACTCTACTAGAGTTTTCGTACAGAAACTCATTCACTGACCAGCAGAAGCAGTGCACCTTCTACCATTCACTCTCCGACTCACCTGCTAACTTCCAGAATTATATCACAGTGATGTTTGTTGTTTCAGAGTTGGACCCTGGGTGAATGATACTCTCCTGTGTAGGCTGTCGAAAGAAAACTAACAGCTCTTTCCCCTTAATATTCTGTCTTGACCAATCTCTCTCTCTATATATAGAGTAAGTTATTAGTGTGACAAATTTTCAATGTCGTAAACTTTTTATTACAGAAATATTTAATAAGAGGAAATTTCTCTATCAACTGTATTCTGATTGTGATTGGATGTCGAGTTTATTGCCCACTCATTATCCTAATCACACACACCCTCTCTCTCTCACCCTAACCATTAAAAATGTCATACTTCCCATTTACGAAGTAACATTCAGAATATATAAAGTTATCAGTAGACAACCAATAAGTGAGTCTCTTAACATAAGCAAATAATTCAGGCAATTTAAGTAATATATATATATATATATATATATATATATTATTACTTCCCTCCCTGAACAGGCGATTGGTTATAATTCTGCTTTTACCTAGAATCAAGACAGAACAATACTAGACAGACATTTAGCATTTGTTAACCTTGAGATCTCATATACGGAAATCAATAATCAAGGTTTCTTAATCGCATCATCATCATATTATTCATTGGACACATTGAATTATTATTATTATTATTGATAGATGAATGACATTTGTCCTGGTTATTACTTCTGTGTAGAGTGATGTAAAATCAATTTGAAGTAAGTGTTGGTTAAGAGTTTTATTATTTCTAAAGTTGATATATTACAGTGCATATCACTTTATTAATTCGTGAAATAACTGTGTAAGAAATGATTCTACATTTTGAAAACGAACTAATCAATGTGTTTCCGATAGATGAAGTTGTTGCTTATTGGGCAAGTTAGTCAACTTTCAAACACTGGGCAATGGGTTCGAATCTCTCTACTCTTGGTATGACCCATAGCCAACAGCATAAATATTATGGGAGACAATTCATTCACTTCCTCCCTTTTTCCCAAAGTATTGAAGGGCAAACACCTTCACTATTTGGTCGTATGAACTTTGGGTTGTATAACGATGATATGACTGTTACATTGCTTTGTTACCATTTAACTTTGTCTGTCTGTCTGTTTTCGACATAAAACTTTGAACATATGTGCGGCAGTTCAAGTTGCCACACTCCAAATGCTCCTATATGAAATTGGTGACGTGGCTTTAGGAGACTATCGGTGGTGGTTTTTCGGCTTCCATCGTTTCTAGTGGACACAGAATGAAGAGGAAATGAAGAGCCATCAAGTAGAGGAGATGCATCAATGGAAGGAAGGCAAGATAATAGAGATGAAGATGAAGACAAAGATAAGTGAGGATTAGAGAGGTTTCGAGAGCATTTCGGATTGTGAGGGCGATTGTTACTTTCCTGCTGCCCACACCGTGTAAGTTGGTCGCGTGACCGCAGAGCCCAGGGGACAACTACTTGATGTCGGGCACACGCAACCTGTTTTTGTTTGTCCTTTATTGTTTGGTGTGTCTCAGTAGCATATTTATCACTCGGCAGCAGAAAGCGCGGTCGTTGTTAATCCGAACCTCAACCGATCCGGCATGGTATTTCGTGAGTTTGTTTGAATCATAGTATTAGATTGGGTAGTTGGTTTTTGTCTAGCCGCTATCCAAAAAACCTTTCTGGCATGGTAGGACCTCAAGAGACATAATTCTCAGCCAGTATAGCTTGTTGGGACATTGCGGTGTTCAAGCCCGACCACTATGTCAAGGTAGCAGCTTTCGGTCGGGATTTAGATTTGACTTGTCAGTCAGACAGGACAGTTCCATACGATTAAATGTTGCGATTGTCAAATCTGTTGACGTCGAAATACTACAGTGACACACACTTAAATCCAGTTGTTATTATTATTATTCTCTTATGTTCTGAGTAGAACATAAAGTTTCATCTATACATCTCCACTTTCTCCTATTCTCTGTTGTCCTCTTCAGCTGGTTAGCTCTCATCTTCTCCTCCAACTCACACGATCTTCCCCATGTCACCATCACACTGAAGACCCACTCGTCGCTTCCCATGGAGATTCCACTCGACCGATGGCTTGCATTGTGCACGATGTCATTTGGTCACCTCCACAACGTATACACGATCAATCCACCTCTATGTTCTACTACATATATATGTCGGCTGAGCAATCGGCTCTTGTTTGTTGGTTTGTTCCCAGCTAGAGTTTCTTGCTGCGAATTCTTTCTGGCTGGCTGGCTGGCCGGCAATCTGATCTTCAGTATGGAAGCAGCCAGTGAAGTTGAAAGTTGTTGATACAAGTTTGTGACTTGTTGGAGTTGCTTTTCGTGACACACAGTGCAAATTTTGGACCCTGTATCGAAGAACCGATTGGCTTTACATTTCTGTTGAAAATCTAAATCTTACTAGGTGACCTTTAAAGGTCAGTTAATTTTGTAAATACTTTCAAAGTGAAATGAAATAAAGTAGAAACGAGATAAAGAATAAACAGTATCAAATTCATGCCACTTTTCACTAAATTCTCTTTTACACCGAGCACTCCTTTTGTGCTGTTGTGTTCATGTCGATGTAAAATACAGTTAAGAAACTTTTATTGTCCCTCTAGTCAACATCTTTTGGAGTAACGTTATTTTAAAATTACACTACACAATTAAATTAAAATCATGCGCATAAGCTACATATCTCCTCTATTATTAGTTACCCTTTATTCCATAATGCTAAACTTCCGACAAAAATACGCTTATTATTTTTAGTATATTTCGTTCAGTGGGTCCAAATGGAATATCGAACTTCAACAGCGTATCTTCATTTCACACTTCTGTCTGGTGTTTATTTTAGATGGCTTGACGACTGTTCACAAGCTTTTCTTTGCTCTTTGCATGATCTCCTCCTTGTCAAGCTTAGACGCTCAACTCATTGCTTCTTATTCCGGTTTCATTCGATAACCTGGTGTGTGGGTTGGTGCGATATAACTTGATCCCCTGAGCATATGTCAAATCGATTTCCGTTTCCGTCTGTATATTTGTAGGGTGATAAGTTGTCGACTACCAGAATTTCTTGTCGCTTATACCTCGGCTGGTTAACTACAATTCCTAAGGCCGGAAACGGAGCGAAGGTTGTGCGTAGAGTTCAGCGATGCCAATCCCCTAAAAATACAACCTGAAACGCAGACAAACTAAACGAAATACTAAAATGCATATCTGCATACTCGATTTTATGAATACGTTTTATCTGCATAAATCTTTGTAGAAGAAATACATTTAAAGAAAATTAATTATGATTATCACAGCATTTCATTTAAGCAGATAGGCATTCGATTGTAAACATGTGTACCTGCTTCAACTTTTTCTACATTAATACCTTAGCAATAGTAATACTCAGTTGGCGGTTCAATAAACAGAATACTTACCACTGTGAGTAGAATTAAATTTGATAAATTCTCACAGTGTTATACAGTAATATTTACTGATGATCACATTTCCAGCACAATTTATTGCCAGCCATAATCATATCACGGCACAACTCACGCAACTTTCTAACTTCGTTTAAATAATTCCATCATTACTTTTCATCGTTTGATTTGATTGATAGTAGTATTTTCCATATATCCGGTATGAGTGATGAGTCATTCCTATTGCACATGTTGGATGTAGACTCGATGAACAAGGATTCAGTAATCAACCTCTCTCTCCACCTACCCATATTACTTTTCAGAATTTTAACCATCTCAAACTCTATTGTGTGGTTGTGTGTTAATGCATGCAGAGAAATTACTGAGCTTTTTTCTAAATTAGTTATCTTCTCGAGGTCAACCATTCTTACTTTAGCTAAATTCTTATTTTCCGACAATCTCACAGTCACTGCAAGGTATTTTGTAAATTACATTATTTTGTTTAATTGGGTCCATCGGGTCTTTTAGCCTACAGAGCTTGTCTCTGAGTGAGTTTGTAGATTCAAATGCCACTCTAATTCCTGCTTTATTCAGAATCCTACGTAGAGAAAGTCTCAGACGTCCCCTCCTTATATATACCTCCAAAAATAATATAGACAGTGATACATTTTTAAATGTATTTTATTTCCATGACAGTTTTTAAGGAAAATTAATCAGTAAAATTGATTTCTCACAGTTTACAGACAGTGTGGAAATGACTTCGATTTCCAAAGCATGAAATTCTTACTGAGTAAACATTCAACAAGGTGAATCAAGTAAGACTGAAGCAGTTTATTACTTCTCATCTTCAGTGCTTTTGGAATCTTCGAGGTAACCAAGATCACTACTCCAAGCATTCGAAAGTTTGTAAAAGTTGAATCTGTCCGTCGGTGGCATAGTGGTTAGGACGCTCGCCAACCATGCGTATGGTCCGGGTCCGATCCCTGGCCACAGGGCGCACTCCTTTACCTCGCTAAGCCAGAAATAATGCTGGTGAAGAGGAAAGGTTGGGCATGAGGCTAGGAAACCCATCCTGTAAAAATAAACGCCACTGCTACAGAAACTTCAAGCCACTAGTGTGAAGCCCTATGTTCCACTGGGAACGTGAAGGAAAAAGAAAACAGTTGAATCTACGTCTATTTCTTCCTCATATAAGTACGTCTACCACATATCTTTAATTCAACTTAAGTTTGTAATAATGTCAGATTATCTCTCAACAACAGACATATGCGTAGGCAACCAGTTATCCCAGTAAATAAATCAGATAAGATCAATCAGCCTTATCAGGATTCAATGACAGTGGAAGTAAACATGTTAACTTAGTCTGTGGTTATTTGTGAATGAAAACATCTCGTACACAGAGAATAAACACCGAATACTTCGACTTATTGATTCACATTTGTCTTTCCCACTAGAATATTTCCCCTTTCCTATCTCTTCACATAAACGTAGGAATACTGAAATGTTATTTTCAAATATTATTATTTTCTACTCTATACTGCATGTCTAAACATTTCAAGCGATAAAGTCAAATGGAGTGGGATCTTATGGGTAAACAGCCTGTTGAAGGAAACAATTAAGACTCAATGAGATAGGAATCAATCAAAATAAATCTAACTAGCTGATCTTGGGGGTAGACAACTCCAAGTCTATTTTCAGTGTCTAAAACGACGACAAATACATATTTTTTTCGTTAGCAAAATTCAACTGAAAGCTAAAATGTTAATCCAGTCCATCACAATTAGAAATATCATTATTATCACCAATGTTATTCCTAATTGTGATGAACTGACTGGATTATGCGTCAGACAGCCAAAGGAAACGAGAAGACAGGGATATCCTGGACTGACTTGAACAACCTAGAAGACCTGGATTATGCGCGTGGATGATTTATGCTTGATGTCACTGTCACAAAATCGAAGACTTACAAGCGAAAACCGACAAACTGGTTGGAGAAGCAGCTGGCGAAGACAGGACTCCCGGTGAACATAGACAAGACAGAGGTTATGAAAATGCCCAACCAACAACAACGGCAGCAGCAACATCCAGCGCCAATCACCACCAATGGGAGGGATTTGAAAGAGGTTACTTCATTCACTTATCTAGGGAGCATTGTCTCAACTACACGAGGAACGGACGAGGATGTCAAATCGAGCGAGAATCTGAAACCAATCTGGAAATCCTCGTCACTCAACGTCAACAACAAAATTCAGTCGGATTTTCAATGCAAACGTCAAGTCAATTCTTCTATACGGATCAGAAACTTGGTGGGCGAGTCACAAAGAAGATTT